TGCTTCTCCGGCAAATTACCCACAGCCAACACCTGATATAGCTCAGTAATTTAGGTATCTGGGTATGGAGCCGGGAGTTGGTAGTTTGATTCCACACTGAGCCTCCTTGACAAAGGCTGGACTTGATAATCCATAGGGTCCCTTCCAGCTCTGCAGTTCTAAGGTTATGATTATACCCTTCTAGTACCATCATCAAGCTTTAAAAAAATGTGGTCCATTTGGGTGGTACATGATGAAGGTACTATGAAGTATAATAGTTACATGTCCCAACTCTTTGGAAAATATAAAGTTTATAAACTACAGTGGTGCCTTGCTAGAAGATTGCTTCGTTTAACGATGAATCCGCTTAACGATTAGTTTTCTGGAGCGATCTTGCACTCCGTTTAACAACGTTTCCTATGGGCTCTACGACGGTGGGGACCTTGCCTCGCAAGACGGTTAATTTTCGGGTCCCTGTGTTTCGCTTTACGATGGTTTTGACAGCTCGGGTTTGCTTCGCTAAACGGGCGTTTGAATGGTTGCTGTTTCGTTTGACAGCTGTGTTCGCTTGGGAAATGCGTTTCGCTTAACGATGGCAATCCGTTCCCACTGGAATGGATTATCAGGGTTTCAATGCATTTCAATGGAAAACCGCGTTTCGCTTAACAACGAAATCGCTTGACAGCGATTTTTGCGGAATGCATTAACCTCGTCTTGCGAGGCACCACTGTATAATCTGAATACATAAATAGTCCAATTAATGAAACTCCAAAACACTTGGTATCTGGCCTACTCTATTTGCTCTAAATCCCAACCATAAATTCCCAGAAGAGAAAGCTAGATATTTACATTGTTTTTAAAAGAAAAAAAATATTCCCACTACCAACAATTATTCTGACAAAGGAATAAATAAGACAAAATACTTCCAATTTTGAAGTACCATGTCAAACTACGCACTTGGCAACAAAGGAGCTAAAATTATAGTACAACCTAAAGTAGGTGTACTTACACCTATCGAAACAGGTCAGGAAAGTATTAAATGTTTCATTACATAGGCATAAATTCTTTGCCATTGTGAATGTGGAGGAAGGCTGTGGAAAGCAGATAATGCAGCAGCCTAAGGAAAGAAGAAAGATTAACTGCAAGGAACTGACAGAGTGGGTTTTTGCAACCTCTTTGTTCATCTGCCTCTCTGTTAGCGTTCTCCTCATGAGCAGGCACTGCTACCAGATGTACTATGCTTCCCAGAGAGACCCTAGGACAGTAATGGCTAACCTTTTTAAGTCCAGAGAGACCCTAGGACAGTAATGGCTAAACTTTTTCAGTCCGAGTGCCCAAACTGGGAAAAACAAAAACATAGTGGACGGCGGGCCACAGCGGTGGTGGAAAGGGGAATCCCGAGCATGGAGGTACCTCCAGACTGAGTGCCCAAACTGGGGAAAAACAAAAACATAGTGGATGGCGGGCCGCAGTGGTGGTGGAAAGGGGAATCCCGAGCACAGAGGTGCCTCCAGACCCCACTCCGGATCCACCTCCAGTCGGGCCCAACCCCCGCCAGTACCGGCTGCTCTAGATCCTCACCCACCGCCTGTTCTGGTGTTAACACCAGGGCTGCAGCCTCCTCCTCAGTTTTGGCTTCCGGGCGTAGCAATCTGGCGACTTATAGCTTGCATGCCTGCAGAGGGGGCTCTGCGTGGAAGCTGTGGCACGTGTGCCATAGGTTCGCCATCGCTGTCCTAGGACAATGATACAACCCCTTTTGTACAGCAGTTCCAATTTCATGAAGGATTACAAGAGCTACCATATCCCACAACATCAAAGTTGCTGCCAGTGGATTCACCACTAAAGTAGTTACACCAAAGGCAACTGCTCCTTTATGAGGTTTTGTGAATTCATACTCCATATGTGTGAAGAAGACGATTGTTATCCATGAATATTCACATGAAATAAACATGTTTGTCTTTAAGATATCGTAATACCTTCATTTTTGTTTTGTTGTCAGTAAAAAAATAGTTGAAGATTTCATGCCTGACATGACAACTGTGGACCTATTTTAATGAGTATTACGTCCCGTGCATGTGGCAAGACTTGATACTTTTGTACAAAGCCAAATTATATCAGCAGAAAGGCCACAAACATCTTCCTGTCCAAGAGCTGATTATTCAACACTGTCTTTCCTTTGGGATGACTCTGCACTGGAAAACAACAACTGGTGGACTCTTTTTGTTCCAAGTCCGAAGGGTGAGCGTGCATCTATATGACAAATATGTACTGGTCATATGACTCTTACAACTGTGAAAACACAAAGCGTAAAAATACCTCTGCATATATATATTGCTGTGCACACTGATATAATTCTGGTTAAAAACAAAGAATAGTAAGAAGACAGAGAACATCCCCTCCCCCCCATCCATTTTGTGGTTAGACACAAATACCGAATTCAGACTATCACCAACTTTAAAACTACCACTTCACTCTTCAAAACACAGAGAAATATTACAGTCTCATATTTCCCATTTCACTGTATTTTACAGATCACACCAGCAGTTAAAAGATGTCTGCATGTATTACGGGAGGGGGGAGCAAGTATATATTATTTTTTGAAAATAGAATAAAATAAAATAAATTGAATAAAATATTCTAGAAGAAAATAGCGATAAACACAATATTCTGACTAATGCAGTGTCTGTATTTTATACATGTGAAGTGAGAAGTGATGATGATATCTTAAACTACTGTGAACCAAGAAGATTTTCAAAAATTCCTCAAAAGAATTATTGCTGATCAAAGAGGTCATCTGCTGTGGACAACCTCAAAAATTTGTGTATACCAAATTCATTTATATTCCTTGAATTACTCTGTTACTTAAATACGCAAATAATTTAAAGATAAATAGACCTCAGCAACCAACATCCATGAATTAAAAAAAAGAAAGAAAAGGATGGAATAGGAAACAAAAAGCATCACATGGAAGATACATGAAATTCTTTAAGTAGCTAATATCAGACAGAGGCAATCAGTACTTAAACTAAAACAGGTTGTTGTGGGGGATGGATTGAATAAGTTTTAAGCAGAAAACAAATAATGTATCCATTCCTCTAATGTTTATAAATTACCAAGAAATCCTTCAAATCCATGATAAGATTTGTGTTACAGTACATCATAAATATCCTCTGTATCCCACAGTCATAACACAAATGTTTGTCCCAACAGCCTTTCTACACCTCTTAAAAAACACACTGTGCAAGAAATTTCAGAGTCATTGTTCTAGACAAGCAACTATGTTATTTTAGAAGGCCAATAAAACACTACCTAAAGTATTTGCTCTGCTTGCTTCCCCCCCGCTCAAATGTCAAAGTAGTTAAGCCATCCAAATCAAACTCAAGTTTCTTCCCTGCACCAAACCTTTCACAAGCAAGGTTATACATATTCCACCATTACATGGTTTGTGCAAAGAGGTTAGCAACAAATTAAAATTAAATATAAATCTAATGCAAGTTTCAGACTGTATTATTGGCCTCTGCAAACCTTCTGGTAAGAACTCCTGTTTAACATGGTCTTCCCCCTCCCAAATATCAAACTCAAGTTTCTTCCCTGCACCAAACCTTTCACAAGCAAGGTTATACATATTCCACCATTACATGGTTTGTGCAAAGAGGTTAGCAACAAATTAAAATTAAATATAAATCTAATGCAAGTTTCAGACTGTATTATTGGCCTCTGCAAACCTTCTGGTAAAAACTCCTGTTTAACATGGTCTTCCCGCTCCCAAATGGTTAAAGGTAAAGGTTGCCCTTAACATTTAGTTCAGTCATGTCCGACTCTAGGGCGCAGTGCTCATCTCCGTTTCCAAGCCATAGAACGAGCGTTTTGTCCAAAGACAGTTTCCATGGTCACGTGGCCAGCACGACTAGACACGGAACGCTGTTCCCTTCTCACCGAGGTGGTATTTATTTATCTATCTAGTCCTGAGGGACTAGATAGGCGGGATATAAATAAAATAAATAAATAAAATAAAATACATGCTTTTGAACTGCTAGGTCGGCAGGAGTTGGGACAAGCGACGGGAGCTCACTCCGTCGCGTGGATTTGATCTTACGACTGACTTTGCAGCACAGAAGCTTCTGCGATTTAACCACGTCCCTTTTAACCCAAATGGTTAGGAGGAAGCACTTCTCACAAGGCAATGCAGAGCTTTAAAGCAGGCATTAGTAATGCAACAGATTTGTTGCCTCTCTTTCCTCCAAGGCCCAGTATAACCAGTGATTCTCACCCTCAAATTCCAGGGTACAGACTCAGAAAATATAGCAAAGGCGAAGTCAGCAACGATCACAAATTATAACTAAATTATAAGTAAAGGCAAAATTTATACACCTTTACAAATTTTGAAGAATACAAAAAAATGCTTTTAATATATTAGATTTACAAGTACATTGCTATATTAATTCCAAATCTTATGGGTATGGTCTGATCTCTTAGGGCAGGGGTCCCCAATTCCTGGTCCGCACACCGGTGCCCGTCCGTGCATGGGTATGGTCTGATCTCTTAGGGCAGGGGGTCCCCAACTCCTGGTCCACACCCCGATGCCCGTCCGTGGGCTTCCTGGAACTGGGCCGCAGAGACTGATCTCCACACACCCCAACGCACAGTAGACATGTCGCTCCTGCAGAGGAGCATGACACGCTCACCTGCGAGCGCCCCATCCCCCCACGCACGGAGCCACACACCCCAAACAGTCCGCGGTCGCAAAAAGTTTGGGGACTGCGGTCTTAGGGGACACAATTATAGCATGCTAGATTCTACACCTTAGTGTCCAACAAAGCTCTTGATTTGTGGAAATATTGCGTTCAAACAACCCTTTTTGATTGCACTATAAGCATAAGAAATTTCTCTAAGAGTTAAGTTCTTACAGAAGATGAAAAGCTAGCTAAAAACTGTTGGCCCCCAAAATAAAAGGATAGCTGCTTCTGGGAAAGGAGGAACTGGGAAATGACATTAATTAGGCAAAAGAGGGTACTTACCAGTATTTTGTTATCTACTTTGTCATTCTTGATTTCGAGTTTAACTTTCTTTTTCACAGAAATTTTTATCTTCCTCCCAATCACATCCTTGACACTTTCTGAAACAGTAGAGAATATAAAATTGTTGTGATAGCTAAAAGTGACAAAAATATTCAGCTACTGTATATTACTATGCTGCCATGGGAATGCTCTTCCACCCAGATAATTCTAGCTGACACTTGATAGCTAAAAATGACAAAAATATTCAGCTATATTACTATGCTGCCATGGGAATGTTCTTCCACCCAGATAATTCTAGCAGACACGTTTTCCTAAAATAAATCTTGTCACTGTCCTCATTAAATACACTAAATCCACATACAGTATGCCCAACTAATTTCATGATTAATAATGTCTATGTGGTTCTTCCTCTTTCAAGCAGAACACATCTATGAACAGACTGCTATCCAGTCACTTACAAGGTACTGTATGAGTTCACACAAATTCAAACATTACACACAAGGTTCTCAGAACACATCTATGAACAGACTGCTATCCAGTCACTTACAAGGTACAGTGGACCCTCAATGGCCGGTTACGGATTAATTGGTTTTCAATGCACTGTAGGTCAATGGAGACTCGACCTACAGACTTTTTGACCTGCAGCCACCATTCCAATACGGATTAATTCCGTACGTAGAGGGTCCACTGTATGAGTTCGCACATATTCAAATATTACACAGAAGGTTCTTATCTCTGAATGCACATAACTCAACTGGAGATCATGACCTTTCCACAAGTATGTTGTGTCTTCTCCAATAGTTCCAGATGTTCTCAGTGTGGAATGGACTCTCCAAAAGGTAGAATAACTCTGAATTAAACTACTGAATCTTTAATTTATAGCCAATTCAAATATTTTTTAAAAAGGAGTCACATATGCACTGGATCTATCGTCTACCCTTGAAGAACACATGAAACAATGTGCAAAGTGGAAGCATACTGCAGACTCTAAACATAAGCATGGGAATTCTCCTATTTCAACATCCCTCTAGCAGCCTGAAAAAAAATCTCAACAACAAACTACCAAGCTAAATGCATGGAAGGTTGCCATGCTGCCATGACTTCCACAGAACTATGACTAGAACTGCTGCTCTATTTTGATGCCTGGATTTTGATGGCTCATCCTTTGTTTTGTTTATCAGATTACACAGCAAACCTCACCCTCTAAAGAACATTCAGATGTTTCTCCCTGAATCTCAAAACTAAAATAAACTAAATGTCAAGAGTCACTGGAGACAGCCTAGGACACCCTGTTTGTGGGGTAGTTATCACAGCTTCAACAGCTTGAAATAGATATTCTAAACCATTGAGCTCTACCTGCAAATCTATTAACAGTGACCTGCATAGCTAGCACTATATCACTGCTGTTTTTCATCCCATTGAAGGAAAAGCTGTAAAATAGCATCACCCTTTCACATCTGTATCATCTCATACGACAAAAGCAAACCATGCATCAAATGAGCTATGAATGCATTTCAAAAATGAGATATTTGACGATTGAGCAGTTGAAAAGGTCAGCCCTCACTGTGATCTAGGGTTGGCCCTGCAAGATACTATGCTCATTGCCTTCACCAGCACAGTTGCATATGCTCAGTGCACATTCCAAGGTGCAGGTTGGAAGGTTGCATCTTGGGTTCACTTCAACAAACATAGCAGCATCCATGATTAGTGAAAAACTAATTTAAGAAATCTGTTTCTATACCAATTAATGCATGCTAATATTTTCCAAAACATACTGCAATATCATTTCATCAATAACAGCAAACAAGTTAAAGATTACAGTACATTTAGCAAATATTACTTAATAGATAGTATTTAACATGTTAAATACAAAAGAAAAAAAATTAAACTAGCAAATGGCAAAAAGCTACAATTGTTTCACACGCTATTTACCAATCCTGGACAACACATTTTCATGGCCACCTCAAAGCAACTTGACTAATGCATCTTGGTATCAGGTCTCTTATAACACTTTAACCTAGACTGCAGAATAGTAAGGTATCATTCCTGCAAGCTGATCTGCCCAAAGTACCAAGCTGTCTGTGGAAAGTGAAGCTAGATGAAATTTTCCTCCATTCTAAAGGCATAGAAACACTCAGAGGAACAAGTGTGCATGAGCAAGCTTTAATTCTGAACTGAGATCCATGTTAGGGTAAGTGGTATTATATGAAACATCTTAACTTCTATTTTATGTGTGCAAAGGCATTTTCTTTTTCCAGATAAAGTAGGTTCTAATTCTTTATTGCATATCTACAATCCATCTGTCTTGGAGATACAGTACTTTATCCATTACTACCAAGAAGAGCTAAATTTGAATATGATTGTTTAAAATTTATCATTTTTATACTCTTCCAGCAAAGTTTAATTTTAATGTCCCTTCATTACATAATTAAACCCAGGTAGTTTTCTAAATATCCTGCAATATTCAAAGAAAGTTCCTGCAATCACTTAGAAAAGGAAGACATGAACACATATGAACTATTTTCCCCATTCACTGCTTCAGATTTTTAAATATAAGGCAGGTTTATCTATCTGTGCATTATGAGGCTTATCACATAGGCAGTTACAGCATCACCTATTCATAGTTATGACTGTCACACCCCAATGCTCTTGGTAAGTTGTTCACATCTTTTTAGCTCAACTACACCAGTGTTCCAAATGCTTTAAGACACTTTGAGACAAGAAGCATACAATATAAATTAAAAACCAATTTACAGGCTCTACTTCTGTGTCACATTCTAAAATGATATGAAACAAAACTGAGAGTAGAGCTGTATACAGGTGAGGATTCTTAACAGATACTCTTGCATTCTGTGGGACAAGGTGAGGGTATTACGTTTGAGTACACAACTGGAGCGGTGAAAGCCTTCACCAACACTGCTGCCCAGCAAGATTCTCGTAAAATGTAATTTCTCATCAGATCTCTATGCCCTTTTACACTGATTTCAGTTAAGCATCAGAATGTTATAAATGCACTGTGTCTAATGTTGTGAATCAAGACATATGGAGCAAGGTCATCTACAGTACTTCATTATATTTTGCATGGTATACTCTCCAAAAAATAGTTGATTTTATCCGTAGGAGACAGGAGACTAAACATTTCACAGCTGCACGTAAACCTAGGCAAGTTGTCTTCTATTCCTGCCCAGCCACCTCAAGAAACAACCAGGATAGATATTTTCACTAGAAGAAAGGAGACTGGGAAGGAAGAGAATGGTGGACCATTCAGACAAAGCCCCAGGCTGAACTAGAAGAGACAACAAATTTGCCTGCTCCCTGGTCCTGGTCCATATCTTGGAGTGCACTCTGAGACACCACTAACTCAGAGGTAATGTTTACTGAACCTGGGCCTTACTTCAAATATGCAGAGAACCAAGCTATCAACCTTGGCTTGTACAGTATTTGGGTCAGGCAAAGGAAATGCCATAAACCCCGTCTTATTGAAATTTAAACATGTAAGTCCTATAAGCCACCCTGAGAACTTACTTGACTATAGAGCAGCAGGTACATGCCTTAAACAAACAAGACTATTTATCCCTTTAGGTCTGTGAATCCATTTAACTGGGGAAGGGGGAGGAAGCTGAAAAGCCAGCAGAATTATCTCCGCCCACCAGCTATTCCCTTGCAAATCAAGACACAGGCAAAGAGTGTGTGTGGTTTTTTTTTAAGAAAACCCACCCACCGCTTACCAACACACATAGTAGGTATAGCCACTGAGCTCTAACAGAACCCTCCTCTTTGGCACCTGAGTGGTTCAAACCTCTTTGCTCTCTTGCCTGACGCAGGAGAGGGAGGTTCGTAAAGAGAATACTGTACTCTGGCACACTTCATACCGAGGAAGCAAAGGTTAAGAAGCCCTGGGAGAGAAAGCTCATCTGCATGAATACGTAGGGGGAGTGAAATCAGTGGGAATGGAGACTATGTCCGGACCAGATGGGCAAACCTTGGGGCCCTGGGAGAGTATTGGGGGGGCTGTCTGTCGCCTTTCCCCCTAGGCTCTGTGCCAGGAGGGCAAGTGAGCAGAGAGGAAATGCTGCCATTAAGAAATCCATCAGCCTGGCCTCTCAAGGTCCTGCTCACACTTATGTTGATTTACAGACCCCGAACCCACTACTCACCTTATTTCCAAGGCTTTTTTTTTAAGTGGGGCTGGTAATCTCTTCCCCCCCCCCCAAACACACACGGACGACGTCAGTCAGCAAATCTCTCCAGCGATGCCAAAAGATATTTTTTTGTAAAAGGCTACAGCTGCTCGGCTTTAGCTCAGAGGCCACCAGCCATAACAATTCCCCACCACCACCCCCGTACCTTTCCAAACGACCCTCGCACAACACAAGCAACCCCACCTTCGCTCGCCTTCTCCCCCCACCCCGCAGCCCAATCGCCACCTTTAAATGTCAGGGCAACCAAAACGATCCGCAAGGGCAGTCTTGGGGAGGCACAACAATCTTCAGCCCTCACCCTGGTGGTGTTGGGTTTTTGTTTTTTTTTCGGAGGGGAAGCGACCCCCTCCTTCCAGCTCTCCGTGGACCCTCACGCACTTAAGTGTCCCTTCTTAAGCCACAAGGAGCGGGGAGAGGAGGGAGGCACACGCTTACCTAGCAACTCTTTGGGAACGTCGGAGCTCTCTTCGGTCATCGTTGCCCCCGTCTTTTCCCCCCTCTTTCCGAAGGGGGTCGTGAGGGGTAGGTGCGCGGAGGGGGCGACAGGGGTGCTGGCTGCTGGAGAAAAAAAGTGCGCCCTCGCCCTTCGCCCTCTGCTTGCGGGGAAAAAGAAATATTAATTCCAAAAATGCTGGAGAAAAAAAGTGCGCCCTCGCCCTTTGCTTGCGGGGGGAAATAAATATTAATTCCAAAAATGCTGTTTTTAAAAAACAAAAATAGGAGGCGGAAGGGAAGTGCCTGGTTATATCGGCGGTACCCTTCGCTGCCCTGAAAAGAAGGAGGGGAGATTTTAAAAAGGAGAAGAGGCAAAGAGGAGCTGGCGACGAGCTTATTGCTACATGACGCCTCTTCAACTTCGGCTGCAGGGAGACGCCAGCGGGTTATTTCCACAGGCGGACGAGCCCTCTCTTAAGGGAAACGGGGAGAGAGAGAGGAGGGAGGAGGAGGAGGAGGGGAAAAAAAAAAGACCGCAGCACAAGCTGCCTTCCCGCGACACTAATCCCCTTCCCCTGCTGCGTCTGCGCTCCTTGGGTTCGCTTCCCTCTTTCCTCCTTCCTGCCCGCTGGCTGGTTGGCTGGCTGGCTGGCTATCCGTCCGTCGTCCGTCCGTCCTTCCTCCTTCCCGCGTTCCCCTTCTGCCTCACGCAGCTACCTTCTGGCCTGAGGTGCAAGCGGAAGGCGTGGGAAGAGGAGGAGGAGGAGGCGGCGGCGGCGCTGGCGGCGGCATTCCTGGCTCCCTCAGAGCCCAGCCCCAGAGAGGGCTGCGCTTCAGACACACGCCCGGATTCCAGCCAAGCACCGGCCTCTCTTCACCTCGCCCAGAGCGAGCCCCGCCGAGAAGCTCGCTCGCTCGCAGAAATGCAACACGGTGTGGCTTTTTCAGACGACGCGAGCTGCCTGGGCAGAGTCAGGGGAATGTCTTTTCCTCCTTAGCCGCGTTTCCTGCCGGCCGCGCATTGGCGCACAGAATCCATGCGCCTACTCATGCCCAGGCAGCGGGGCCGGAGGGCAAAATTGTAGCAATCCCTTTGGTCCCTCCTTCCTTCTCTCCTTCCCTCCCCATCACGAAGTCTGGCAGCAAGCAGACCGATGGAGAGACGCGAGGGCGGCCTCTGGTGGTCCGAGTCGGCCTCGACCTTGGCAAAAGGGGTCCCTCCTTCTGCCCCACCCTTTTTTCCCCTTTTCCTTCATGGACTCTGAACAGAAGAGTGGTTTCTTATAAGGGAGGCGTTGGCAAGTGTGGCCCTCCAGATTTTTATTTTTATTTGTTGGCCTGCCCTACCCATCGCTCCAGGCCAGTATAATTAATAACAAGGGGTTATAAGTACTACAGTAATACAGTCCAGCAACATGTGGGTCACCACTCTGTTTTAAGGCTGTGTACCAATTTGTATCAGTCATCGATCCAAATGTAGGCTGTGGCCAAGAAATTGGAAGAAGAATGAGACTTGGAAGGGTGGCTATGAAGGAGACAAAAAAAATCTGCCAGAGCAAAGATGTGTCTCTGTAGACCACGTCCATCCATACTATTATATCCCTGACTATTACGTAGGGATGTGAAAATTAGACAGTGAAGGGATGGGGAAGGGAAATGATTCATTTAAGATGTGGCGCTGGAGGAGAATCTTACGGTCACTGCCCAGTAGCAAACAAACAAATGAAGGCTAGAACAAATCAAGACTGAAATCTCCCTAGAAGCAAACAGGACTTAACAGAAGCTATTGGGCTTTGAGCATGTCATGAGAAGACAAGGCACTGTAAATGACAATAATGCTGGGAAAAGTGGAAGGCAGCAGGGAAAGAGGAGGATGGAACATGAGATTGACTGATTCAGTAAAATAACCCCTTAGCCTTTTGTTTGAAAGACCAGAGCAAGACTGTTAATGATAGGACCTTTTGGAGGTCACTAATTCACAGAGTTGGCATAAACTGGAAGTGAATTGATGGCACATGAAAACAAATTGATATGTATGTACTTGAAAATAAACAAAATAGGTGCTTATCTTTAGCTCCGCGACCACCACTGGATTAAACTTTGATTCAGAATAAGCAGTTTTAGTCAGAAAGGCCGTGTTCTTATGTGTATTTTCTTGAAAATAAACCCTAGTTAATTTAGACTTTCTTCTGAGTAAACTGACATAAACATACCTCTCCTCCTGCCGTAACTGTTGTAATAGAGGAGCCTGGTGGTGCAGTGGTTAAATGTCAGTTATTGCCATTTACTGCTCACAACCTGAGTGCAATCCTGGGTCAGGTAGCAGGCTCAAGGTTGAATCAGCCTTCCAGCTTTCCAAGGTTGGTAAATTCAGTAACTATCTCACTTGGGTGGGGACAGTGTGTAGCCTGGAAACTTATATTGTAAACCATCCAGAGAGTACTTTAAGTAGTACTGTGCAGTATATAAGCAGAACACTTTAATTCTGTTTGATGCAATGCAGTAAAACTGCTGTTTACGACCACCGGTTTAACTCCAGGTTTGACAGGTAGAGACTTCTTTGTTTCAGGTTCAGAGGAACAACTTACGCAAGAAAACAGTAATGGATAGCATAGGTTTCCCTGGAAGCTAGTACCATTAGCTCAAAGCCTGGGTTCACTTGCTGACTGGTTGGCTGGCTGAGCTGTTATGTGCAGAAAGGTATTAGAACTGCTGGATGGCTCAGTGATTTAGGTATTTGGCTGTGGAGCCAGAAGTCAGGCTGGACTCAAAGATCCTTAGGGTATCTTCCAGCTCTGCAGTTCTAAGATTATTATTAACATCATTTTGATCTCCTGTTGTGCTTTATTCTGGAACAAAGAGCTGAAATTGATGCACTGGTGGTTGTTTTTTTGTTAATCTTGATAGTTAAAACCTTCTGCACTTCCACTTTGATTTTGAAGGAACCTGGAAATACCAAAGCATTCCCCTAAAATTCAAAATAAGTAAAAGTCTGTACTTTTTTTACTTTTGACACTCCAGGAGCGTTCTACTATGCCATCATGTGCTGACACTTAACAACTATGCTTTGTGTATGGCTCTGGAGCACTAAGATACACTGGCATGCCTCAAATCAGAGATTTTATGTGAAACAAATGGTTTGTAACCACAATTTGAACCTACTATATCATTTTCTCTGGCAGCTGGCCATGAGGCTGTAAAAAGTACAATTGTTGGGGTGCAGCCCCAGCAGACTGACATCAGGGGGTTGTTTTCCACATAGTACCCAGCTGCTTAGTTGAGGTGTGAGTGTATCTAAGGAGATGTATCAAAAGGCTTCTACAAAATCCCTGGTAAAGGTTTTGGATGACAATTCCCATAATCACTTATTCGCTATTATGGCTGGGCCTCCAGGAGTGGGTTCAAAACATTTGGAGGGCCAAAAGGTCTTCATCCCCTCCCTGCCTTTCACACTGTGAAGTGAACACTTCCTTTCTTTTGTTGGTAGTAGATAAAGTATAGTACATAGGCTCTAATTTAGGGTGTCAAGACCTCTTCCAAGTCCTGCAATGCAATAATGATGTCATGGCATTGCTCCAAAGCCTGCAGGCTTCCAGGTTACTTTATTTCACAATTCACAGCCAATTGACAAAGGACAGATCTTGTTTATTCTAATGTGGCATCTGTAGAAGTCTTCAAATGCGGTATTTTTTTAAAATGGGCATATGAAAGTAACTGGGCTACAACTTTAAGAAGATCCAAAACAGTTGTTGAAGTAACATTAGAGTAATACCTCTTATGTTTTGGGTATAATACTATTATAAAGGAAAACTTGGGGGGGGGCGTTATTCCGAAAAAGAGCAGAGACATTTTCAGCATCTGTAGAAACCCTGGAGATAACATCATCTCCAGACTGCTGCATCCTTACTACTCTTGTTGATGTCTGTCTTATTCTGTCCAGTCCCAACAATCCCATTACTGTCTTTCGACCAAGATTTCTTTTTGCAGTTTCTTGGAAGCAAGTTTTCCTTTTTGTCATGCAACTATGTCATGTACAGGCCATGCCTTCCACATGGCAGTCTGGATGTGAGATGAGAACTCGTGGACATATACAATACATGTTATCTTTTTTGTATTAACTTTTTCTGTTAACTACTGTATATTTTAATTAGGTTTTTATTTTATTTTATTTTATTTTAATTGACTTATTAGGATACCACAGTTACATGTGAGCAATAAAACTAGTAGAACTGTATAATCAGTCACATTGATTGAATGGAAGTGATTTAGTGAACAGTTTCTTAACTCATTAATAGACTGCCACTTTCCCCCCCCCTTGGCAAAGGTTCTCTGTCTCACAAGAGCTGATTATCTGGTAGCAGTTCCATAGGTACCCATTCTTCCTTGCATCGAGGTGTAGTGATGGGGAAATTACACTTCTTAAATTTATGTTTGTCTTGCAACCATTAAATGTGAAGAGCCAGTTTCAGGAAATATGTAAAATCCCGATAGAACAAAATATTTACATTTTATATATATATAAAAGTCCTTCCTAGAAAGTTAGATTTTGAGCCGTGGCTTATATATATGTTAATTTGTTTTCTAGCATACATCTGGCTTACTTAATGCCAAGCGGCTCAAAATCTAACTTTCCAGGAAGGACTTTTTAGAAGTCCACAGCTATAGCTATATAACCATGTCCCAGGTTAAATCTTTATCTTCAGTTAAGGAGAACTGCTACGAACCTTAGGTCCCCAGGCACTGAAATTCCAACTGCTATGATTCCAGCATCCATAATCCATGACAACAGTCATGTTATCTTTGAACAGGGGAAGTTGTAATTCAGCTACAGTTAGAAACCCCAAGTTGGGAAAGGCTAAATACTGAGCTAGGTGGTCTAAATGGACTACAGGTAGAACTACTTGAAGAAGAAATTGTGCCTCCCAAGAGCAGGACCTCATGTTGTACCATCATTGCCATTGATTATGAGACCAACTGGCCTATGCTGATAATCAGAGGCTGCAGGAGAAGTAAATACCAAAAGGATCCTAGGAAAAGAGGAAGATCACCTGTCACTTAATAAGACGTTGCCAGGGAAAGTGTTGGAACCACCAACATTACCTAATATTATCCAATTTGCTCTTTATTTACCTAATATTATCCAATTTGCTCTTTATTTACTCTTTACCTTGGGCATCACCTACATTTAATCTT